CTCTGCTCAGAGGTCTCCAGGGTTCCCTTAGCAGCTCCATCCCATGCTGTCAGGTTGTTAGGACAATAGGAGGGGATATTTTCTAGCCCAGCATTTTACAAACTGTTTAGGGAAACTTTACATTCTGTGAGATATTAATAGCATTCAGTAGAACAAAAGGTGGTGGTGAAAAGGGGGTTGTTCTGGACTTCAATATTTAGTTAAATTTAAATAAGAATACTCAGGATGTTTAACATGTTAATTATACCTTGAATTTCCTCAAAGAAAAATGCAGTAGACAGATAAAAGTAGGCTCACAAAGTGGCTGAGAGCACCAGCTAGGTTTTGAATCCTAGTTCTGCTACTTCCTAGCTGTGTGACCATGGAGAAGTTCACTAGCCTCTTTGACCTGCAGCTTTAGCACTGTTATGGGGCTGAAATGCAGCATTTCATGCAAAGTGCTGTGCCTGAAATACCAACACTCAGTACATGCGAGATCATTATAATATTGTCCATGTGGCTCTTTTGTGGAGGAATAGTTATAAGCATCTCTTAGGGTGCTGTTATTCCATGAGCACTGTGTGGGAAAATACTGATTGTTCTGCTTGTTTTGAGCACTATGCTGGTTCGTCACCCTGACATTGGAAGATTCCTGTGAACACCTGCCCACCTCTTTATCCACTTGTACTGATCACAGTATCTTGGGGCATGATGGACATAGAGCTTGGACACTGAGCACAGGGGCCTGAAAACTCAGATGAGCCCAGAGAAGGGTGAGTAGGCTGGTGTGGTGGCAGCAGGGGCATCTGAGAGGTAATTGTAAAGGATGACGCTGGAGAGGTGGGCTTGGGGAATGTTGTGGGAGGCCCCAAGGCCAGAATAAAGAATTGAGGCTTTACCCTGTGGTGACAGGGGATTGTGCTGGAGGTGTTTGGGCACGGGTGCTTGCTCCACAGTGCACAGAGGTACTGCATCCTGCTCTGCGTTGTCTCACTTTCTCTGCCCTGGGCCTCCAGGGCACTTCTTGGAGGGCAACAGCATGAGCGGCTGAACCAGGAGGCAAGAGACACAGATAAGAGCATTGGCCTCCTCTCAGCGCTGGGTTCCCAGGACACAGCACTTTGCCTCTCCATGTCTCAACTTACACTTCTGTGAAATGGGAAGAATCACCATTCCTGAGCAGCCTAACCCACAGAGCTATAGTAAGGGTTCAGTGAAATAAAATATTTCAACAAGCACCTTTGGTTGAGATCCCATTACATACCAGGCCCTGTGTTCAGGCTGGAAGAAGACAGAGAAGAACAATATTGATCTATGCTCTGGAAAAGCTCACATTGTGCTGGCTACAGTATGGGCAAGATAAGTGGTATAGTCAAGTCAAACCCATGAAAGGGCCCTTCATACATTGTGGAGACTGGGAAGGTTACGAGAGGAGGGAGGCATTCAGGAAGGTTCTCCAGAGTGGGTGATGGCTCAGCTGAGTCCAGGTCTGTGATAGTTAATGGATGAAGAAAGAAGAAGTTAAGCCTCCAGGGAGAGGAACAAAGGTATGAAAAAAGATATGGAGGAATGAAATGCCATGGTCTACATGGGCAAATAAGTAGCAAGTGGTATTATTAGGGCACTACATTTGAGCTATGGAAAAAGATTTAATGGACACTACTGGCAGGAGCAATGCTTCCATTTAAACAGTGAATATAGGGGATCCCTGGGTGGCTCAGCGGGTTGGCGCCTACCTTTGGCCCAGGGCGTGGTCCTGGAGTCCCGGGATCGAGTCCCACGTCGGGCTCCTGGCATAGAGCCTGCTTCTCCCTCTGCTTGTGTCTCTGCCCCTCTCTCTCTATGTCTATTGTGAATAAATAAATAAAATCTTTTAAAAAATAAAAAAAATAAACAGTGAATATAGTCTAAAGCTAAAGAAGCACAGCTCTAACTGGAGAATTTGGGGAATTAGCTAGTATAAAGCTTTGTTTGTGCCACCTGAAATTGTCCCATTGTTCCATGGGTCTCTATCCAGGTTATATCAGTGATGTTGGGCAGACTACAGGCCTTGAATGCCAGGCTGAGGGGTTTGCTCTGTAGCCTGCAGTCTAATGGAAGAATTAGCCATAAAAGCCAGGGGATTTAGAATGGAATCCTTGGCATTCTTTGCATGTGCTGGGCTGGCTAGGCAAGGAGGCTCCCAGAAGAAAAACAGAGAGACCTTTGCCCTCCACCTGCACTTAGGCAAAAAGTAGAATTAGGGTAAGGTTGGCTGAGTGATCTGGCTATTGTGCCTGCCCTTTAGGCTTCAGCATCCAATCTCCCATAGTGCAGGGGGCTTAAGGCATGCCGCTCAGGAGGCTAGATGGTAAGCCCTAGCCGCTGCCCGAGCTTTGGGGAGCTATTGCACGCAAATAAGCCTGAGCCATGGAATTAGTCCTGTTGTTACCCAGAGAAAGGAACTTGGCTGTCCTTCCTCAACTGGGAACACATGCTATCCAGCCTGCTGCCATTGGTGGGAGTGTCTCTCAATCTGCTCCAGGAGTCCCCCTGAGCCTCCAAGCCTGACAGATGAAATCTCCCATCTTGATGGCCTCTGGGGTGGAAAGAAGCAAGGGCTGGGAGGCACAGGGCCAGACTCTGGCCCTAACCTACCGTGTGACCATGGGCAAGTCCATTCACCTTTTTGAGCTTCAGTTTGCTCATTTCCAGAGTGAAGAAAGTCCTCCGAGGGCAGATACAAGCATTAAATAAGAAATTGTGTGTGGGAGGGCTTTGCTGTGGATGAGGTATCATTATCTTTATTAAAAGAGGCAAAAAGAGCAGAAAAGGACAATGAATGGAAATGTGAAAGCTGTCCTACCATTTGATCATCTTAAATTATTCCATAGTTTTATGGCATAATAAGGGTATTTTGGCTATGCTTTAAAAATTAACTTTATATCTTAAAGGCACATACTGAAATATTTATGGACAAAACTATATAACATCTGAAGTATGCCTCAAAATAAGGAAAGGGTGCTGTGGGTGTGGGTAGGAATCAAACAAGATTGGCCAAAGTTGGTTGCTAAAGCTGGGTGATGGGTACATGGGGGTTCATTATGTTATTCTATCTATTTTTCTATATTTAAATTTTCCCATAGTAGAAAGTCAAAGAGCGTGGCATTTAGAGTCAAACTGACCTGTCTTCACCACTTAATAGCTGACCCAGGGAAAGTCACATCACCTCTTTGATCTCTCTACTCATCTAGCAACAAGTGTACTAGTAATATTACCTGCTTCATAGGGTTCTCACAGAGACCACATGTGATAATGGATGCAAAGTGTTTACCCACATTCCTGGCACACAGTAGGCATGTAGTAAACCATGATTCCCTTCCCCTCTAGAGATCTTCATCAAACATCATCTGTCACCCCCCTGCCCTGCTGGGTGCAGCCAGACTCCCTGGACCAGGATCTGTCTCCATAGGTGGTGGAAGATGATCATGTCCCCAGGGTTTCTTCAGTGGTTGTTGAGCAGTCAGCATGCTGAGCTCAGTTATGGGAGGCAAAGGGGGGTTAGGTGGTGTCCCCACCCCCTCTGGGAGGAAGGGAAATGGCTGAGGGTAATGCATTTGGATTGAGCATTTTCTCTATACTGGCCACAGAGCTTTACAACCACCCATATGAGGTCAGGACTTTCACTCAGAGAGGTTAAGAAACTTACAAGGAGTGGCACAGCTAGTAGGTGAAGAGGAAAGAAGGATGAAAGAAACAGTAGATAAGCATATAGGAGGATAGAAATAAAGTGACTCCAGAGGAATGGCAAGGAGATGGGAATCGTGTGAAAGAAGGAAAGGATAATGGGGAGAAAGAGGCACCAAAGGGAATGGAATGGGGAGAAAGCACGGAAGGGGAGCAGTAATAGCCAGTCCTTCTCCTTTTCCTCCCGGTCCCTCAGCTGATGAAATGACTCCAATACTGTCAGCCTCTGTTCACGAAGGGTGGGAGATGGGAAGCCAAACCTGTCCTCCCCTGGGGTCCCATTTTCCCCAGTAACCTGATGCTGGTCAGCACTACAGGGCGGACAGCGCCCGGGGCCCCACCCCTGCTGGGCTGGCATCACCCTCACTCTTGGATCTCTCTTCCTCCTGCTAGGTCTGAGCTCTGCTATTAGCCCCACCTCAACAACTCTCCTTTAAGAGACTCTTCTTAGTGGGTTTAGAACCTGGGAATCTGAAAGACCAGCAGGATGGGGGTGAGATATGGTCTTTCACCAACCAGCCCTGGGTGGGTACTGGGGGCTTCCCAAGAAGTGTGAGAGAAAGACCGTTCCCACAAAGGCTCAGTGTGCTTGGAGATTTAAGACAGATGGGCATGAGGTCCTTGTAGAGCAATAGGAGGCATCTGCACTGAGTAAAACCTAGAGACTTGTTCTTGGAGCCTCACTGAAACCCAACCTATTCACTCATCAGCTGTGTGACCTTGGGGAATCTAATCTCTTCACTTCTCTAGGCCTTGGTTTCTACATCTGTAAAGTGCAGATTACACTCTCTGCCCTGCCTGGCTCTCAAGAGCCATTTGAGTGTATGTAAAATAATGGATGTAAAAGTACTTTGTGAACTTTGGCGCCCTGCATACACATGAACTGTCATTTCTGGGTGCCAGCCTGGGTGATGCTGAACTGTGTTTCTCTGTCAGGCTGCAGTTTTTATCCAGGGATTACACAGGAACTTCCACATGAGGATAGTTCCTTGATCTTCTTGAAGTCACTCTTGATATTTTATCTCTTGCTTTGTTCAGTGTGTGAAGACACATTTGCTCAGTTGTTCTTAATATGTAATATGAGGGAAAGATGTGTATTTTTTTGAAGAACAGATGGGGTCCTTTTTATCAGAAAATGAAAATTATAAAATCCGTCTAGATTCTCTTTTAGCCACAGCTACCAGGAAGCTCAGAGTAAAACTCAAGTTTAGTAATAACAATGTAGGTGGTTATTATACAATTTTCTTTGTCTCCTTTTAACTTGATTTTAGTTTTTTTTTTTTTACTGCTTTCAGGCTGAGTTGATGCCACGCTGATCCAAAGACAAGAACCATACTGATAAGCCTGAGCACTTCATTCCAGCCATCAAGAGTGACACTGAACAGAGAGGTAGGACATACTTTATATCTGTAGTTTCCTCAGGCTGCTGTAACCAAATACCACAAACTTGGTAGCTCAAAACAATAGACATTTATTCTCTGATAGTTCTGGAGGCCAGATGTCCCAAATCAAGGTGTTGGCTTGGCTGCAGTTCCTCTGAACGATGTACAAATGTGTTCCTTGCCTCTTCCAACTTCTGGTGGCTGCCAGCATTCCTTGGCTTGTGTCTGCATCACTCCAATCTTGGCCTCTGTCTTCACATAACCTTTTCCTCTCTGTTTTCTGCTCCTCTGTTTGTGTAAAACTCCCTCTGGCTCTCTTTTATGTGCATGTGATTGCATGTAGGGCCTCCATGGATAATCCAGGGTAAGCACCTCCTCTCAAGATCCTTAACTTAATCATATCTTTTGCCAAAGAAGGTAGTGTTCACAGGTTCCAGAAATTAGGACACAGACATATCTTTGGGTCTGCCATTCAACCTATCACTGCATCTGAGAACCCTAAATACATAGACTCTTCCACTGTCTCTTGTTCATTGTATTATTTAATGGTTAGGAGCAATATTTCTGGGAATCTGACCTATGGGCTCCCATTCTAGCTCAGTTATTTACTGTGGGATGTTGGGCAAATTTCTTCGTATTTCAGCACCTGAGTTTCCTGTCTGAAAAATTGAAAGTAGTATCTTCTTTGTAGGGTTGTAACAAAATACTCTGTGAAAATACATAGTATAGTACCTGGCACATAGTAAGTACTCAACAAATGTTAACTATAATTAGAGATGGTGGTTTTAGCATATGACTACAAATTCTTTCTTATTCCTTCCTTCAAGGGGTGGAGCTTGATTCTCCTCTCTTGGGTTCTGACAGGACCTAGTGCCTCATTTCTAATGAACAAAATAAAGTGGAAATGACCATGTGTGATTTCAGAGACTAGGTCATAAAAGATGCTACAGCTTACTATTTGTTCTCTCTCAAATCACTTACTCTGGGGAAACCAGCTTGCAGGTCTCCAGACAACAGCCAGGAGTGAGTGAATTAGGAAGATGATCCTCCAGTCCCAGTCAAGCCTTTGGATACCTGCAGCCCTGGCCAATACCTTGATTGTAATCTCATGACAGACTCTGAGCCAGACCACTCAGCTAAGCTGCTCTTAGATCTCTGACCCACAGAAGCTGTGAGATAACAAATGTTGTTTTAAGTCACCGAGCTTTAACATAATTTCTCACACAGTAACAGCTAACTAATTATTATTTATCTTTAAACATCAATTATCTATTAGTTGCCAAACAAGGGGAATTACAAGGATGGAGGAGTACCTGCCCTTATGGGGCATTTAGTCTGGTGAAATGTAAAGCAACATTTGGAATGAAGTATGAGACAGTGCCAATGTATTGTATAGCAAAGACAAGGTCGAAAAAATCCTTATTTATTCTGTAAAGGGGGCTGCTGATCTGGTGGGGCCCATCTAGAGCACTAGAATATAGGCTAACGTTCAGAATCCAACCAGTCTGAGAGTCTGTATATAACAGTATCTGGGGGGATTTTATGAAGGAAAAACTTTAGTCATTCTTCAGAATTGCACACTAGAGCTAAATATACACCTACCCTATGATCCAGCCATTCTGCTATTGAATATATACCACAGAGAAATGTAGTTCACTATATATTCATGGCAGCATTATTCTTAATACCCCTAAACTAGAAACAACCTACTATCCATAAACAAATTACAATATAATCACACAATGGAATGCTTCCCAGCAATAAAAAAGAACAAACTGCTAATATATGCAACAACATGAATACATCTCAAAGACGTTAGGTTGAGCAAAAGAAGTCAGACTTCAAAGGAACATATACCTTTATACCAAGATCAAGATCTAGGACATTTGTAATACTTCACTGTATTCACAAAAAATACCTCAATTAAAAAATTTTTAAGATAGGGGCACCTAGGTGGCTCAGTCAGTTAAGCATTTGCCTTTGGCTCAGATCATGATCCTGCCTCTGGATCTCCCTCTCCCCCGTTTGTGCTCTCTCTCCCTGTGCCAAATAAATAAATAAATTCTTTAAAAATTTTTAAGATAAAATGAACCACTAAAAAAGAATAGGTGTATTATTAAGCAAGAATTACATATTTTAAATATATTTATGCCTAAGTGTATATACAACATACTATAAATTGATGGCTGTGACAAACATCTAGCTTCTTGTTGGAGGCTTAGCTATGTGACTAAAGCACCACTTCTTTTTTTTTTTTTAATTTTTATTTATGATAGTCACAGAGAGAGAGAGAGGGGCAGAGACATAGGCAGAGGGAGAAGCAGGCTCCATGCACCAGGAGCCCGATGTGGGATTCGATCCAGGGTCTCCAGGATTGCGCCCTGGGCCAAAGGCAGGCGCCAAACCGCTGCGCCACCCAGGGATCCCTAAAGCACCACTTCTTAAGCAGGGTATACTGGAGTACTGAAAAAATGAAAACTCAGTTTCAGCTGCAGTAAGCCCTGATGTGGTTGGAAGACTGGACTGGAGGGATTATGCACTGCCCTCACTGTGAGTGAATAAGCACAAGTAGCAAGGGGTCATTCTGACAAAGAATGACACACAGACCTCTGCTTTGTGGGTATGTAAGGGAATAAGCCTGAGCAGCCATCAGTTCTAGTAAATCATGTCATAGTGTTGAGGGGCAAGCAAGCAAGCCCTGCAAACCTGGGAGTACGGTATAATCCCTTCAGGCATGCCTCTAGAAACCTTAGTATTTGACAGTGTGTCCCAATCTCCAAAGATCAAGAACAACTCAACTAAGGAAGGGCCTCCATTCAGGTCTGTTCTGGGCCTGTCTTGTCCCATGTCCACTTATCTTCCTCTGAACTCCTGTTCTATGCCACCTGCAGGAGGGTAATACTTTCTTGTCCCAGGCAGTTTATTAACATTTGAAGAACATCTCTGGGCATGTTGTAAGACATTACTCAAAGTTCAAGGGCAAGCCTCTGTTAATTGATTCCTAGAGAAGTCTGTGTCCTCTGTTGCCTCTTTAAGATCCCAGCCCCTTGCCTTCTGTGTCCATCTGGGGGTTACGTTCCTTGTCTACTATTGAAGCCAGGCTTCATTGTGTGACTTGCTTTGGCCAGTGGATGTTTGCAAATGTGGTGCAAGCAGAGACTTCATAAGCACTTGCACAATGGGGCTCGCCTTTTCTCTTGTCTCTGGGAACCTGAGTCCACCATGTAAACAAGTCTGGGTTAGCCTCCTGGAGGATAAGATCATGTTAAGAGAGATTCTAGCCATCCCAGCTGTCCCAGATATCCCAGCTGAGGCTCTGCACATGTGAGTGAGGCCGGCCTAGACCAGAAGAACCATCCACCCAATATACAGATTTGTAAGAAATAATCAGTGATATTTTTGTTTTGTTTTATTTTAAGCTACTATGTTTTGGGGTGGTTTGTTATGCAGCACAAGCTGACAGATACAGAAAGGATGATGCCATTTAGTAAGCTCCTAAATTGGCTAGCCAACTGAAGAAGAGGTGGTGGTCTGGAAGGGAGACATTCCTGAGAAAAGAGACAGAATCCACAAAGGCACAGAGAGGTATGAAACGTAGTGGCACATGTGGACACCTCATGCCCTGGTCTCATTGGAGAACAAGGATAGAGGTGGGAAATAATGAAGAATATAGCTAAAGAAGTAGGGGAGGTGGTGGCTAGGCCAGAAAGAGCCTTCTATACCAGGTTAAGGAATTTCCTGGAGTCCTGAAGTCTGTGGGGAAACCATTTAAGCAATAAAGGACATAAATAGATTTGCATCCTAAAAATTTTTTTAAGATAATGTAAAAAATTTTTTTTTACTAATTAGTATTTACTATATTCTAGATGCTTTCAATATGCATGGCAAAAAGTACCCAGGTACAGGGTGGAGAGTGGTTTGGAGGTGGTCAGGAAGTAACAGGCAGACCAGTGAGGTGGCTACTGCAGGGATTTGGGGAAAGCAGATAAAAGCCTGAACTGAGGGAATGGCCACCAGGGATGGTTGAGGACAGGGCAGACAGGCGAGGTGTTCAGGAGACAGGACTACCTAGTGACTGCATCAGAGGAGTGAGGAATGAGGAGGAGTCTGGGATGACTATTGAGAGTCTGGCTTAGGAGGCTATGGAGAATTTTGGAATCAGTGGCACTGGGGATTCTTGGTTTCATAAACCCAGCTCCCAAGAGCTGAAGAGAGCTTGATGACTAACTAATCCAATCCATTCTACCTCACTTACCACTTACCATGGACGATGCCCAAGCTGACTGTAGGTAGTCCAGGGCCAAACCATTTTTTCTATGATTGGGGAATGACTTTTATTGCATTAAAAACTAGCACAGGGGCACCTGGGTGGCTCAGTGGTTGAGCGTCTGACTTTGGCTCAGGTCATGATCTCAGGGTGCTGAGTTCTGCATCAGGTTCCCTGCAGGGAGCCTGCTTCTCCCTCTGCCTCTCTCTCTGTGTCTCTCATGAATAAATAAATAAATATCTTAAAAAAAGAACTAGCACATAAGACCCCTAATTTCACAGATATTATTGCCTTAGCAAAAGGCCAAAGAAGTTGTTTCAATTTAAAAAGTAAGTTGATAAAAAGGAAAACATTGCCAGTAATGGTACAGGTCTACACAGATGTGGCTGAAATTAGGCATGAGTGAAGTTTAGGACACTCTGCATCACTGAGAGTACACATCTTTTCCACAGGATCCCAGAGAGTGCCTATCTCTTCAAGTGGCCTGGTGGGACTGACCGGTCTGATCTGGCTTCAGCCCTTGGGAGCTGAACATCTCTATCTTCAATTGCCTTCAAAGCTGAATGTAGCCTGTTCAGGTTAACAATTAGATGGTGGGGCAGCCCGGGTGGCTCAGCAGTTTAGCGCCACCTTCAGCCCAGGGTGTGATCCTGGAGACCCAGGATCAAGTCCCATGACGGGCTCCCTGCATGGAGCCTGCTTCTCTCTCTGCCTGTGTCTCTGCCTATCCTGTGTCTCTC